GTAGAGGTTCTTTTTGTAAATTTGGTTCAAGGCAAGCAATAGTTAAGCCTTTAAGGTATTCTCGATGACCGATGCGCTGCTAGTAGGTGTGATTAGGTAAACCTCAACGTACCCTAGTTACTTTGGTATTTTGCACCTCTTTCTCAAGGTTCAATTCCTCTCAGAAGTCTACAAAAATATTTATCTGAGCACCGGAGGCAAAGCGATGTTTCGAAGCAAAATAATTAATTACATGCAGTTGAAAGGTTTGGATGTCCAATCGTTTAAGTGTCATCCCTAAATGTTTGATTTGTACAACCAACCCGCTTATCCTGACTTTAATCAAATGTTTTCGGTTCCCTCTAAGCAAGAAGATTTGGAACATGCTTATTTTGGACATATTTTAAAAAGAAAGACCAATATTTTTCGTAAAATGTTCGCAGGCTCAACAAAGCGTTGCATGTGAACCACATCTTGACTCTGGAAATAAAACAAGAGCTACTCGCAATGAAATTGCATGTCGGTGTTTTTGTCTAGAATTTTTTGTCACTTTTTGTGATCATAAACGTAAACGAAGACCATTTTAAACCTAGGTCTAGCAGTCAGACAGAGGTTCTTAAAATATTTATTTACTTGGTATCTTAGCAAAATATAATGCACATCAATTTTAAAACATGAACTCAAAGAGAAACTTACTACTCTTTTCGAACAGTAATTTTCTAAAGACACTCAATCCTTCCAATAAATTGCGATAAACTGAATTAGTCACTTTAAAAATTACGCGACCAGAACTTTAAGTAGTGACGTCGTTGTGTATTGCACTTTACCGCGCCCTCTATCCTCCAACCCCCCCCCCCTTTTTTTTTCAGATAAAAAACAAGCCTAAAAAACAACCCTTTATTCTGTTTCAAGTGCATACCAACCGGAATGTAGCACCACAGAGGGAACGGATGTGAACGTCCAATATTGAAATAGCTATACTACGTGACTTGCCTCACGGAGGTTACTATAAAAACTCGCTGCGGACGTATACAAGGGCACGTTTCGGCGAAAGTTCAGGTTTTTTTTAACTCTCTGTTTTGCGATGCAAGCATGTGCGGCTGGAACACTTGACGTCGTCGAGTTACTCCCTTATTTTTTTCCTCTGGCTTGATAGGGATGAAATTGTCAACAAGGGTCCTGAACAAAATAAAGAAAATACTCAAACCACAGGTTACCTGGTGACAAATTATTTTTAGAAAACCTCGAGATTTTTAAATTGTAGAATCTTGAAAATATGCAACGCTTGCATTGCTACTATTGTTTTTCCGCCTCGGTATATTTTAAATATTTTGTACAATTTCTGGTTGCTAGAGCCATTGCAATGATCTTATATTACAAAATATTAGAAGGGCACGACATAACACAAAACAAATGTCAAACACATTATACGACCTGGTAATTATAGGGACCAGGAGCAATGTTGTGTTTGCGTGTGTCATTTCTGTAGATCTTTACAATCACTAGAGTTTCGCATATCACTTAGCTAAATAGGCTACACTAGAAATAGTATAGACACTGAAATTGCGCGCTGCAAATTTGGCTTGTTATACTTAAAATATAGAAGTTGATTCATGATAATCAGAATTATGCATTTTACGTAGTTGTATCACTACTCCTCGGTCAACGTTAGCTTCAAGCTTGTTCATTATTCTCTCAGGTTGCAGTATACACCGCTTTCTGAGGAAAAATGTGTGTTGTGAAAATGTTGTGTTTGATCTTATAAAAAATAACTGATATGCCAATGACAACCTGTTTTGTTGATTCCTTTTCTGTAATTTATATTGATCTTGAGTATATTATATTTCTTGAAAAAAAGCGAGTTCACTTTTATCATCTGTCAGTTTATCTTTCTACGTTGGGAAGTGACAACTCATGAAGCACGCGCGGCGGAACGTAGCTGTTCTTGTCCTCATTGCAAAAAATAATAATAAAGGCATGCGGCACTGACGCGTAAGCGTCTTTTTGGCGGCGACACCAGACATGCTGCCAGTGGCCCTTTACTTCCACAGCTCTGGCGTCACAATCCCGGTGACACACGCTTGCGAGGCTGCGCCACCCGCGGCGGTATAAACTTCTGGTATACCCCAACATGAGAGGGTCTCCTACCTTTGCGAATTCGAAATATCTAAATATATAAGTATGCGAAATATCTAATCCATCCAGCAGCGAAACTGGAATTAATGTCACATCTATTTTGCAGTTAGTTCACATTCCACAAGCAAGAGTTGATCGAGTGGAAATGGTGTCGCACAGCGTGTAACATTTATTTCACTACCGAGGGTCTAATTCAAAAAGGCTGAAAGGTTTCCAGAAGGGGACAGTGCGGGCGTTGTGGCTGCAAAGTTGGGGGCGGCGAAGTTTCGCAGTCGCTGGTAACGGGAGGCTCGCGCTTGGTTGGGCCCGCTCCATGTTTGTGGTCCCCGTCACGGATGCCTCGACGGTCGTAGGCGGATTTCGCACGAGGACCCCGAAGATGCTTTTCTTTACTCCTCGCATCAAGATCTTAAGCTTGTTCACTTCCGGCGTTTTGGGATTCGCGCGGTTGAATTGTCAGAGGACGGCCTCGACGAAGCTGACGATACTTTCATTCGGTGCTTGAATTCTGGACCGGAGTAGTTCTTCGAGGCGTTCCTGACGCTGTTGGCTCGCAAAAAGCAGCTGTTCGTCGCACGTGTCCCAGGTGGTGATTGACGTTTCGCAGTTTTCAATCCAGAGCCGGCGGGCCGTTGCAGTAAGAAATAAATTTTCTGGCCGCTCTGCTTTGGTGTCCATCGGCTGTGACATGCCACCCATTCGCACTACTGTATCCAGTCGTCCACGTCTTCGTAAACTTCGCCGTGGAAGGGCGTCGGCGTGCGAGATGAAACAGGCAGGAACGTGACGGGAATGCCGCAGCAGGGGTCTCTTTCGGCTGGACTTGAGGAAATATGTCCAGGTTCGTCGACTTCTTACATGGCTGTTTTAACAATGGACCGAATTCCGACGGCTGGCCTTGCTCGGGCTTCGTCTAGCTCCAGAAAAGAGAGTTCTCCGGGACTTGAAATCGATCTGGTCCTGCGGCTCCTCGGAGGCGTACGCGGACGGGGCATAAAATGTTACCCTGCACCTCCACCAGAAATTCCGCGGATGGAAAAGAATCGACAAGCGTAAAACTCGAAATATAGTGTCCATCGGCAAATTTGTGCCAGAAACAAAGAAAGAACGAACTTTGACAAAGCAGCAGCAAGTGTTCAAGGCGGCAGATGATAGTGTTGTAGTGTCGGCGTGACAGCTGGATAGTTTGGGCTAGCACGAGGGTGCGAGATTCTGTCGTCGTCGGGAGAGAGTCGGGAACGCCACGCTGCTCCTTATTTATGACACTCGCTATCTCGGACATTCTATCTAGAATGTTCGAACATCGAATACTGGATAGACTGACTCGCCAAGGTCGGCGTCCTTATATGTTACACTCAGTATCTCGAGCATTCGAATGGAACATCAAATCATTTCGGTTAGGAGTAAATGCAAATCTTCTAGAAGTACCGAGAAGCGTTTCCTCTCAGCTTGCATGCACGCGGCGATCTAAAATAAATTGAGTTCTTTAGTTAATGCCTATTGGCGACTTGCGCGATCGAAAGCGTCGCTGTGGTCGGCATTTTACGATTGGCCGAATGCTGACAATGACGTAAGGAAAGGATTTCTCTTCGAAGGAAATAGGAGGAATGGAAGAACTTCAACCTTGGCGGTGTTGGGAGAGTGAGTTTGAGGGCGCAATGATGCATGCTCATTACAAACACCATCGAACTGGTTGTTCGTGAGGTAATGACGTCACGAGAGGGAACCACAGGAGGGCGCCACCAAACCATCTCGCCGCTAATAGGTCTACGCAGTGTACGCCTAGACTAGGGTCCAGAGGCCAGATTCATAAAAACCTCTTACCTACGACATCTTAGCTACGATGTTCGTAAAGTTGCGATCATCGTAAGCTGAGGCAAGAACGGTATTCACAAACGCGTTCTTAAGTGAGAGGAGGAAAGTTACGACCGGTTACGACCTCTTACGGAAAAACGACGACTTCCGGTGTCTCGCCTTTTCCCAAATAGCGCGAGAGCTTGTTGTTGCTATGGCGACGGCGTCTTCGGCGACTCCAACAACCAATGAGCGTAGTTTCAAACACGTGCGCGTGTTTACAACGCCTAGAACAATACACGTGCGCGTGAATATGTCGGAACCGGAGTGTAAAAAAGTGCGAATGCCAAATTTCTCGGAAGCGGAGATTACCGCTTTGGTTGACGGTTACGAAGACCACAAGCTAGCCATTCAGGCAAAAACAAGTGGCCCGCACGGCTCGTTAGCCAAGCAGCGAGCGTGGGCTATTACTACCGCGTCGCTCTTCGCGGTCTCCGGAGTCCGGAGGAGGGTCAACGAAGTAGTAAAAAAAAAGTGGACGGATTACAAGAGTGCAAATAAAATCCGCGGTAAGGCTTGGTAGATTCTCTACTCAGTTATACAATTTGAGTGTAGACCTACACGTGATTTACCCCCTTGTTGCAATGTATAGGCGCTGCAGTCCGGCGCAGCCAAAATGCGCCAGGTGGCGGCCCGGGAGAGCCGGAGTTAACGGACGCCGAGGAGCGGGTGATCGGCCTCCTCAGCGAAGCCTCCCTAGTAGGAACCGAACGGGCCTTCGACATCGGAGCACGGCAGTTGGGTAAGTGCTAAATGTACACCAATGCGCAAGGTGCCCCCCCCCCCCCCCCCCCCCCCCAGCACATACTGGGAGGTTTCACTCTGGTTGATGATGTCGAACGTGTATTGCTAGCACTAGAAACATGAAAGGCTGACTGAAAACCTGAGCGATTCTTCCTTTTCAATTTTCTAGAGCGTCACGAACGGACCCAAGTAGCTGCCGATCGCGATTCGGAGATCTCCCCCGATTTTAAGTTCACGATATCTCAATGTTCTTATAAAATTGTGAAAACATTATATTGCATTTTCAGTTTTCGTCATAGATCCGGGCGCTGGATCCAGCACTGCACCACAACGAAGTTGGTCGGTGCACTCAAGGTCAGTTTTTACCTTTATCAACGAGTTAAAGTGCTACATATACAGCTGCAGTTAAATTACAAGTGCTTTCTTTTTCTCTGTCCCAGTCCTAGTACCTCGGATGGCATGCTGTGCAACCAGAGTGAGTATTATGAACAACGCTATGGGTATTCTTGTACAAGTGTTTACATTCGGCATCTGAAATATTTAGTAACATGTTTCATGTCTTGCCCATGTATAGAAAATGAAAACATTTGGTCAAAGTTGTCACTCAACTGTCGAACCCTGTTCCAGTTATCCAAAACCCGAGTTTGCAGCGAACAAGTTTGGGTTTAGCCGCGCCACTGCGACTACACAGCCAATTAAATATCCGACAAGCATCATGACATGCCAGGAAACCTTAGATTGCTGGTGCACACAGTGCACACCGTTACTTGGGTCAGGGATTCCGTAAGGAGGATCGGTGGCCTGGTGTGTTAGTGTTCCGCAGCTCCAAGCAAGCATTCAAAATCCAGGGATCCTGTTTTTATTCCATATTTGTGCCAGCTTCAATCTGGATTAAGATCGTATCGGCGTGCTGTCGGATATCACTACTGCATGATACATGTAGACTTTAGGCTAGCGGTCATACTGCACTGGCCAAATTCCTCATCTCCAGCATAACCAGCAGAATTGTACACCAGACTGACCTCATACATAAACATCTGTTTTGCTTCTGATCCCACCCAATTTCATTCACACACATTGTACGATGATTACGTTGTTTTGTTGGCCGTGTCGGGCACTTTAGCCATCACACAGTAGTCTGTAAGCATGAAGCGCCACATATTTTATTCATTAGGTGGAGGTGCAGTTGCAGAAGCCGTGACTTCACAACCCTCAGTAGCACGGCCTGCATTAGCGCGGCCTGCGTCGGCCCGGCCTGCAACACCGGGGCCTGCAACACCACGGCCTGCATCAGCACGGCCTGCATCAGCACGGCCTGCATCAGCACGGCCTGCATCAGCACAGCCTGCATCTGCACGGCCTGCAGCAGTAAGGGCTGCAGCAGCAAGAGCTGCTGTTGAGATAGCTGCCAGCACACCCCAACAGATCGACGGAGTGAGTATACTTAAAACACATATTTAACATGATTATACATTCTTGCATTGTTGTTGTTAGATTAACGTTTTTGCTGTGCGTCACTTTTCGAGGAGCTTCTGAACGTCCAACACTTCCGCTTGAACCTGTGACATCACTGGAAGACCTCTAAACTACACAGACGACATTCAAAAGCTCTCCGACATGGTTGCTAGCACCTGTATTTTTCAATGTCTAAAGTGTGAATGACAATGGTTATGTCACACATCCACGCAACATGTAGCAGTACAAACTATGATTGCAGCAAAGAAAACTGGATGATTATTTGTGCTCCATGCTTTCAATCCTGAACAGGACCACACTTCAAAACTGACAAATTTATTTTCAGAAATACTTCAAAACACAAAGCCAGAGGGGACATTTATGTACAGGCACTTTTCACGTCACATGAAAAAAAAAGAAACATTTAAATAAAAATTAAAGTTCATCAGTTTGAGCTAGTATTTTGAGGATCTCTGGCACATGTGTGTATACATATCCCATAGCCGATTTAAAAAATAACAAATCATTACTCCACCAATTCAGGCGACAACAAAGATGTGGGACATGAGATCCTGCAGACGCAGGTGGCGATCCTAGAGCGGCTCGATGCACTGGTTGCAGCGCAGCAGGGCATACTAGCGGCGCAGCAGGGCATGCTAGCGGCGCAGCAACAGTTAGTGGCCCTAAGGGCACAGAAATATGGAGTGCAATTTGTTAACGCTCCTGTTCTTCCTGAATAAACCTATGTATTTTGCCCGGTTTCAACATCTGTTGAGCAACAAATACAGGTACTGGCCAAGTTAGTGTCCGAGCAAAGCATGTGACAACACTTCATTGCAGTAAACTCTATTGGAGCACTCTCACATGCTTGTCTCCAGCACCTTTACTTGCTCCTTGTAGAAGAGGACACTTTTAAGTAAAAGCGTGGCGAACAACTGCACTTCTTGCAGCCGCACCCGCCACCATGGGTCGTGCCCTCCTAGTTCTTGGTGCTGGTGTGGGTGTCTCCTCCTCCTCCTCCTCTTCTTCTTCATCATCAGACAGGTCAACTGTATACATAAGAGAACATTCATTAGAGCGCTTTCCTACTCATAAACATTTAAGGCAGAAAATGCCAATTGTATATGGTGACTGCTACCTGCTAGCGTGTACAGAACTTGTAAGCTAAAGGTGGTTAGCAAGAAACAAATGTCTTCCAATTATTCTCCTGAGCCAGCTCTGAAAGATAGCTTGCTTACTGCAAAAAACGTTTTCATTGCACAAAAAAATAGGTCCGGTGATACAAATTATTTCATTGATTTACGCTAATTGTTCACATGTAAGGTAGATTTTCGGAGAGCTAAGAGTGTCAAGTGCACAGATGCGGTCCAATATATAAAAAGATTGTGCAAAAACGCCCAGCAAAAAGCAGCCTTGTAATAACCTACTTCTATAAACCCCTGCATGTGAAACTGCGTTCTGGCAGCGAGTTGGCCATGGAATGAGGTGCCAGGGCTTTGGTTTCGATCCACGAGCCCTCAAAGTTATTGCGACAGTATGTGTAAAATGTGGCAGTGCATTTGGTCGCGACGTGATGACGGAACTGAGGTTGAGCAACTGAAAACCACAATGCGCTGCGTAATGCCTTTCCATTAGGGGCACTTCCACTCTGGAAAAGGTCTATTATGTTACCTAGTGGTTCATTGAGAGAGACACGTGGAGGCGCATAGAGTAATTGTGAAGAACCACACAGGCCACAATAATCTTGCAGCAGATCTTGGCTCTGTATTGTAGGAAGCCTCCAGACTTGTCCAGGCACCTGAAGCGGGATTTCAGGAGCCCGAACGTCCGATCGATGACTTGTCTGGTCTTCGTCAGGGCCTCATTGTAGTCCAACTCTGGTTGGTCCTTGGGTGCTCAAATTGGGGTCATGAGCCACGGCTGGGCAGAGTACCCAGCGTCCCCTGCATTATCCAAGACGGGCTCAGATGGTCATTTCATGTTGCTGCACTTAAGCGAGACAAGCTCCCAACAGTTCATCTTTTAAAAACCCGAGACTCAGGATACACTGAAACTACAAGGCAACTATCCCATCGCCGAGACTATGTATAAAGGTCACTTCATACAGTTGTGCTGACTGTGAGCACAACCAAATGCGTACCACATTGTGGGGAAAGCAGGGAAGTGCGAGACCTTGTTTTATCTGTTGTTGGCGCAGAGGAAAGACGGCAACAATATTAACACATGTTCACCAAAGAGCCGCTTAACTCGTTGGACGTTCGCTCTGTTGTTTTGCAATCCTTTCACATTGCGGGAACAGCAGCACACCATGGATAACAACGTTCCTGCAGTGCGTTAGTCTTCGGCATCCAGAAACAAGCAACAAACTGTGTTGCGTAATTCGAGCGCCCCACGTTTCGTGGAGCAATCTTTTGTGTCGGTGACACGACAGCACAGCTAGTTTCATCGGCAGAGTACTTTACCACAATCGTGCTTTCATTTGAATCTACCAAATAAAAGCCTAATAGACTTCTTTCAAAACCGACGCACCCCATCGCGGCGAAATACCACGCAGTGCACTCTGGGAACTAGTTGGCCACTCAGTTTCAGTTTCGACTGAGCAGCTTCACAAATTCGTGCAGTGCTGCCGGGCAGTATAGATAAGAGATGAGAAGTGTGTTCAAATGGAGCTTTTCAACGGCGCCTATGAGTTTTACCTCGTGTACTCAGGCGTATTAAGAAAAACAGTAATTGCAAAAAGTTATATTTCGTCTATGGATGCACGAAACAAACAAACTTTCTGATCAACAGCAGTAATGTAAAGGCGCGAGCTCAATGTATGCATACTTACTGGTGTCTACAGCTTGTTGATTCGTACACAAGCAAGATCCCCGAGCTTCGCAGCGTCGAGATTCCCAGCACTGGCTAGTTCACATACCTCGAAACGCTAACAGAAAGGCTCAAGTACAAAAATACAACAAGCATGCGTTAAGACAAGCAATACGTCTCGGGCTTGTGCTAAAGCTTCGAGGTCTGGCCATTTAGGTTAGTTTAGATACCACAAATGACGCACTCAGGACCAGAAAACATAAAATAATGGCCGTTTATAGTCCACACTGTGTATAATCTGTTGTTGACATGTCGATCGAAACCGAAACCACGGCACTCCCCTTCCTGGCCAACCAGTTCCCAGAGTGCAACGCGCGCCGTGTTGCATGCAGGGCTTTATAGAAGTAATCTATTGAATTGTAATCAACCAAGATTTGCAGCTTGGATTTTATTAAAGCTTTTCGATTGTTAAGCTGTAAAATCTGAAAAAGATGTTTTGTCATGGTTTTAGCAATGGACGGACCCTCATGTATTGTGTGGCAAAGCAATAGTCTTGCCAAAAGACAACACAACTCTAAAAAAATGCATTTTGATCAGTACTACTTTGGACTCTCCCAACCATGGGAGACAAATGGAAATCACCTCTTGCAATCATACTGCTGACTGTTGTTTTATCACAGAGGTGCACAACTAAAAAATGACGCGTGCCAAGAAAATGTTCATTGGGAACTGCGTGGACACACAGAAAGTGCCCTCGGGCCGCATGCGGCCCGCGGGTTACATGTTGTGCACCCCTGTTTTAGCATTAGGCCCTGAATGTTTGTGTAACAATGCTTCACTACATATTTTCATCAGAAACTTACCAAGCAACCAACCATCAGGTGCGGTGCCTGTGACGAACTGCTCATACAAATCACAGTTTCGCCATATAAAGCTATCATGTGTGCTCCCTGGCCACTTCACGGTCAGTTGTATGACTACATTGCTTGCGTTGCACACTGCCTGCACGTTGACCGACGTGTAGCCCTTGCGGTTCAGGTAGTCAGGCTTGTCGGCTTTGGCTACCTTGAGGGCCACATGCGTTCCATCGATGCAGCCTAGCCCCCTGGGGAAGCCGGCGATTGCAGCAAACCCTGAAAAATTAATGAAAAGCAAACAGGCATTCAACTACAAAACAACAGTGATCCTTGTACACTGCATTTCACCATAACTTGACAAACGGCTCATGGTGCAACCCCAACAAGCCGATCAGAACGTCGAAGCAAGGCATGTGACACTGTATCGTCAAAGAGTGCTCTTCCCATGGAGAGTTGCTGCATGCTTCGCTTCATCGCGTAGGCTGGCTCGAGGAAGCCGTAGCATTCGGTTTTTACAACTTATGTGTACACAAAGTATACTAGTTGCATGATAAGCATGTAATTACCAATATTGCATAAACAATATAGAGATTTTGATATGCCCAGAAATGATGAAAAATGTCGACACGCTTGAGGAGGCCAGTCTCGTTTCTTCTACATGCAATAATCTGCTCACCGACCTATAAATTTGGTGCTTTGAAATGAGGCTCTCAACCACTTGTTATACTCTTGGAAGCTCTATGAAGTGCTGCCTTTCATCCTCTGCCACGGCATAGTTTACCCAAACACCATCGTTGTTCTTGTTTACCAGGGAGTGTCTAGAGCACGCTGACCACGATCTTAACATCCACAAGCCTGGAGCTAAAAATCGTTCACTACTGTACACTGACCTCCGTGTTATTCTGAAGGGGGTGAATTGCCCGAGATGTGGTATTTCGGCAATGTATGCGGCTGACAGCGAGACGCAGCAAGCTCTATTGCAAGCTCGCTTTGTCCGTCGCGATCGATGATTGCGAGCCATTCTAGCAAGTTTTGTGTTTGTGCGTGCTCGCCACATGAGCGGCGGCGGACTTCGCTCAATCGCGCCGGTATTGATATCAAGTTACGGTAAGCCGACACACTGCCTTAACGCTGTGATTTAGCGCGTTTGTAGAAAAGCGATAAAACTGTTCGACTACATTTACGCCGGCGGATCGACATCCTTGAGTATTCTCAGGCTGTGGTACTCACCAATCGACGTAAGG